ATGGACTTGGATGGTACCGATGCATCAGGGTAACAGATACACCCCTCTGCTGCAGGAAGCTGACCGTGGGGGAGGCTGTGTATGTGTGTATGTGGTGGGGAGGGTAATATATGGAAACTCTCTGTACTTTCCACTCAATTTGGCCGTAAACCTAAACTGCTCTAAAAAAACAAAGTCTATATCTTTAAAATAGGGCAAGAGATCTGAATAAACATTTCTCCAAAGAAGACTTACAAATGACCAATAAGCATATGAAAGCTGCTCAACATAATTAGTCCTTAGGAAAATACAGAGCCAAACCACAATGAATTACTACTTTGCACCCACTAAGACGGCTATAATCAAAAAAAGGGAAAACAGCGTGGTCACGAGGACTCAAGGAAGCTGGAGTCTCCATGCAGTGCTGGTGGGAACGTAGAGTGCACAGACCCCGGGAAAATGGTCTGCAAGTTCCTCAGAAAGTTAAAGTACACCCAGCAATCCATTGTGTAGCCACAAAAACTGAAAATGCATGTCCAAATGACCATGTGCCTGTGATTGTTCATAGCAGCCTTATTTAAATAGCCAAAATGTAGAAATAACCCCAAAGAGTCCAGCAAGTGAATAAATACACAAAATGAAGTACATCCATGGACTGGAATGTTATTCAACCATAAAAAGGAGTGAAATACTGACACATAGTGCAGCATGGAGAGAGCTGGAAAGCATTACATAAGGGAAAGAGCCGGTCATAAAGGACCACAGATTGTATACCTCCCATGTTAAATGTGCACAGGAGGATATCTACAGACACAAAAAGTAGATTAGTCGCTGCCAGGGGCTGGAGCAAAAGGGGAGCAATATGCTGATGGGTATGGGGTTTCTTTTGGGAGGTGATGAAATGTTCTATATTTGACTTGGGTTGATGGTTGAACAAATCTGTGAACACACTAAAACAACTGAATTAAAAACTTTAGACTTCCGCCAAGATGGAGGCATAGGTGGATGTGCCGTGCCTTCTCACACAACCAAGTTTAGAGACAACTAAATATTAGCAACAGAAAACATAGCCAGAACACAGAAAATTGAACTTTTCAGAAGTCTGTTAACAACAAATTCTTCAGCCTGACCGGTAAGGGGCGAAATCAGCAGCTGGTGGAGCGGGGTAGCACAGGAAAACTTGGTCAGACGACTCAGGCGCGGGCGCAGGGTTGGACCTAGTGAGAGACCCAGTGACCACTGGGAAACAGCGAGGGAACAGGGCTGCGGGTGGACTGTGGTAGTGCATGCGTGCGCGGATACACTAGCGAGGGAGTGGGCGATTGGACTGGGACCCAGCGGGTCCCCACGGCTATCAGCAGCGGAGGGCGCCACCATTTCCCCGCTCTGACCCCACCTCTACATGCAGCGTCATAACCCAGAGACTCTTAGTGGCCCAGCCCTGGTGAACCACCTAAAGCTCTGCTCCTCACCCAGCAGCGTGAAACAGCAGAGGGGGCCGCCATTTCCCCACTCTGACCACGCCCCCACATAAGCGTCACAACCCGGCGACCTGGGAGTCCAAGGCTCTGCTCCTCATATTTAAAGGGTGCGAACAGACCAAAAATGGCTCAAGAAGATCTCAAAGCCCCAGAGCCTATAAATCCAAGCGATGATGAAATAGCAAAACTTTCAGATGCACAGTTTAAAACACTGGTGATAAGGATCCTCACAGAACTGGCTGATTATAGCCACAAATTAGACAAACATATGAAGGTGAAACTAACTTAAATGAATGGAATTGCACAGGAAACCAATAGTGATGGAAAGGAAACTGGGACTCAAATCAATGGAGTGGACCAGAAGAAAGCAAATAATGGCCAAACAGAAGAGTCAAGAAGCAAGAATTCAAAAAAATAAGGAGAGGCTTAGGAACCTCCAGGACACCTTTAAACGCTCCAACATCCGAATTATAGGGGTACCAGAAGGGGGAAAGGCACAGCCACCAGTGGAAAACTTATTTGAACAAATAATAAAGGAGAATTTCCCCAATCTGGCAAAGGAAATAGACTTCCAGGAAATCCAGGAAGCTCAGAGAGTCCCAAAGAAGTTGGACCCAAGAAGGAACACACCAAGGCACATCATCATTACATTAGCCAAGATGAAAATGAAGAAGAGAATCCTAGAAGCAGCAAGAGCTAAGGGGACAGTCACCTACAAAGGAGTTCCCATCAGACTGTCAGCTGGATTTCTCAAAAGAGACCTTACAGGCAAGAAGGGGCTGGAAAGAGGTATTCCAAGTCATGAAATCCAAAGACCTAAAACCAAGATTGCTCTATCCAGCAAAGCCTTCATTTAGAATTGAAGGACAGATAAAGTGCTTCTCAGATAAGATCAAATTCAAGGAGTTCATCATCACCAAGCCCTTATTATATGAAATGTTAAAGGGACTTACCTAAGAAAAAGAAGATAAAAAAAGATGAAGAGTGAAAGGACAGCAAACTCACAGTTATTAAGAACTCACACCTAAAACAAAAGCAAACTAAGAGGACAGCTAGATTAGGAGTGGAAACATAGAAACGAAGATCACATGGAGGGTTAGCAACAGGGGAGTGGGAGAAGGAGAAGGGGGGAGAAGGTACAGAAAATAAGTAGCATAGATGGTAGGTAGAAAATAGATGGGGGAAGGGCAAGAATAGTAGGGGAAATATAGAATCCAAAGAATTTGAGACACATGGTCATATACTAAAGGGGGATAATGGTGGGGACGGGGGGTAGGGTCGAGGGGAATGAAGGGGGGAATAGAATAACTGTAATGGCATAATCAATAAAAAATAAATTTAAATAAATAAATAAAAACTTTAAATGGGTGACTTTTATGGTTGGTGAATTGTATCTCAATAAAGATGGCTTTTAAACAAATAAGGTAGGAAAACTGGTTCTCATCTAGGGGGTAGGTACTCTAAGAAAATATGAATCATAGAAACGAGGTGGAAACAATAAGCTTGTTAGTAACCAGACTTGCCACAGGGTCCAATAAAAAAATGACAGCATTTTTTAAAGTACTTCGCATTAAAAAAATGTTTCTGTTTCACATTTTGAAAGTGTAAGTTCAACAATTTCACATTTTAAAAAAAGGACACCTATTTGTGCACTTTTGAGTTCTTACATGCAAGTCTCTGTATGTATGTAGGTACACACATGCATACATCCCGTCATTGTCAAAGATGATGCTAAATCAGCTCGTTACTGGGTGACCCCGTAGCCTTTTCACTCCCCAGTGGCTCAGTTAGCTGTGTCGCTGCAGCTGCTGGGCTCAGAGCCCAAGTTCCTATTTCTGGACCAGCCTGTGTACCTTAAAATTAGATGACAAAGAATTTGGTTCAGCAAACCCTTATCAACGTTAAGCATTTTTCAAAGTTTGGTCAGTCACAGGTGGAATCGATTACCTAGGACTTTGACTCTGGGTATCTGGTAATGGACCAGGGAACCTACTGTTTTAACAAGCTCCTGCACTCGGTGTGGGAGGCCCAGCTCTGGGTACCTGTGTCTGATTGCTGTGGAGAGACTGAGTCTGTCTTTGGCCTCACAACCCTGTTCCCGCTCTCCCTGCTCTCCAGGGTGAGTGCAGCATGCCTCCTTATTGTTAACCACATTGAGATGTCACTGAGCCTAGTGTTTGGTCTGGAGGCACAGTCTAGTCATAAGACTGCCTGGTAGGTATTTCCACTCCATTTGGGATTTGTGCGGGGAGGGGAGTGGAGGGGCGGGGCTACTGTACGGCCGCCAGAAGCTGCAGAAGCAGCAGACAGCATATAGTTAGCTCTGGTCCTGGGCATTACTCACAACATAGGACCTTTACTGGAGCCCTGGTCCTGCATTCTAGGGTCAGCTCAGTACCCCACCCCACATCTAATGGGGGATGATGGAAAAGCCTATTAGGACAATAATCTCTCAAGGCTGATGTTGGCTCTCTCTTGCCATGGCCTGGTTTATTTTACATGAACACTTCCAGCGATGGGAAATTTACCACTTGCAACGAAGCTCTTCTGTCTCTCAGGGGGTCTGCAACATGACCCCAGGACAGAAAGCAGTCATGCCAGCTCGCCTGCTCATCTCTGCACACATCCATCCTGGATCCTTCCAACATCTTTTGGAAACACAGGTGTCCCTGTTCTAGTTAAAATCCTTCAGTGGTTCCCTATTCCTCTTAGGATCTAGACCACAGTCCTTGTTGATCTCTTGGCCTCACCTCCTCTGCTGTCCCCCACTCTAGGACCCTGTCACACTGCTCTTGCTGTTCTCTGACCAGGCATGCTCTCTCTTGCCATGGCCTGCTCCTCTTAATGTAGTTGATACCTGCTCATCTCTCAGCTCTCCAGCATCATTTCATTGACCCCACCCCCGGGCCTGGATCAGGTCCCTTGCTTATTTATGCGCCTAGCACTCTGGGCCTCTTCCTTATTAAAATATGTCAACGTTAAAAATTTTTCACTTGACCAATTAGGTATTTCACTAACGTCTGCCTCCTTCAGGAGATGGTAAAGTTCATTGAAGCAGGGCTCTAAGTTTGCTCTCATTGCAACCCCAGCACAGGGCAAAGGGCCTGGCAGGTACTTAGTTGCATGGATGATGAGCTCTGGGAAGGTGGGCCACACACAACCTGGGTGGGATATAGAGGCTTCTGGGAATCACAGAAGAAGATACATCTAAAAGTCCTCGGAACTGAGGAAATTCGTCTGCGGGCCGGTGCCCAGGGAACCCTCAGGGCAAGGACACAGCGCAGCACTGGCTGGCATCCAGCTGCTGAATGAAAGGGGCGCCTGGTCTCTGTGCCTGGAAGGGGGGGTGCTCTGTTTCCCTACCCGTTCCTCACGGGGTCCACCGAGAATCGCCCCTGCGCCCGGGAGCCGTGGGCTGCGGAGGTCCTAGGGGCCGAGCGGCTAGGCCTCCGCGCCCGGCGAGGGCGCTCCGGCCCAGTACTCCGGAGCAGTTGTGCACCGCCCCTCTAGCCGCCGAGAGGTGGCGCGGTGCGTGTCGGGAAGGCTGCGGGCGGGTCTGGCCCTCGGCGGCGGAGGGTGCCATGGTGGGTGGCGAGACGGTCGCAGCTGTGGAGGAGCTGGTTTCGGGGGTACGACAGGCGACCGACTTTGCCGAGCAGTTCCGCTCCTACTCCGAGAGCGAGAAGCAATGGAAGGCCCGCATGGAATTCATCTTGCGCCACCTGCCCGACTACCGCGACCCGCCCGACGGCGGCGGCCGCCTGGACCAGCTGCTGTCCCTCTCCATGGTCTGGGCCAACCACCTCTTCCTGGGTTGCAGGTGCGGACCCCTGCCGGCTGGCTGACCTGTCCCCTGCCTTCTGACCCGCAGCCCTCGCCCCGGGCTGAACCCGCCCCCAACTTCTAACGGCGCTAGCCTGGCCTACGTCTGATTCCCACACTTAGCCAAGCCGCCTGGGAAGATATTAATGACCTCTCTGAGCCTCAGTTTCCTCATTTGGAAAATGAGTTGTGACGATTACACTATTAAAGGGTGAAAAGCACTTAGCACAGGCTACTATCTAGCAATAGCTCAGTACGTGGCTGGGCTCTAAAATGTCCATTTTTATTTTTATTGCTACTGTTAGCTCAAACCATCACCTTTGCAGAGTGCATTTCAAGTCCATTAGCTCCTTTCACCCAAATGCTCCTTTCACTTGGACAATGCAGAGGAGGAACCCGAGATCCCCAATTTACATATGAAGAAGCTGAGAAAGGGGAGGTGAGGTACCTAGGCCCTTGCAGTTTCTGGTAGGATGTAATCTGTGGGCCTTGGCTCTTCCCACTCCCTAGTCTGCCGGACCCTGAGCCAGAGCCAGCCTTGGCCTCCCTGTCTTTCCTGTTACGAAAATAACAGATGCCCTGCATTCCCCCCTCCTTCCAACCACGAAGAAGGTGGCAAGTCATCTTTTTATTTTAGCGTTTCCTGAAATTATGTTGGAATAAAATGACTCAGTTTAGTCCTGGTTTTGTGCTCCTTATTCTGGTCACATGGTCCCTCTAGCCCTAAGCCACTTGATTTTGCTTTCAGATGTTGTGGGTTATTACAACAAGATTTGGGGAAGCAGCGCCAGTCACACCCCTCTCTTTTCTCTGCCTTCCAGGTGCCCCTGGGACATCCTGGTTAACAGGCTCCAAGATTCAGCAAATTGGATAAATGAATAAATAATGTTATTTTCATTAGACCATCGTTCCATGTGTCCAAAAACTAAAAAGTTGTTGGCCCTCGTACCATATCCACAAATGTGGTACGCTGCCAGATGTATGCAGAGTTTTTTTGCATACTGTTTTGTAAATCTGTTTGTTTCATAAATTTGAAATACCTGCCCTATTGGCATTCCAGGAGCCACTTCTGTATCCCCAAGTGGGAGGAACCAGTAACTAACTTGCTGCTGAACATGCACTGATTTCCCCTGTGGTATCAAATTAGTCCTCTGAGAGTTGAGTCTGCAGTCCCTTTACCTGCAGTTTCTTGTTAGCCCCATACCGACAAGTCAGTCTTCCAAGGTTTTTAACCTTACTGCTCTTTATTGTGCAGTTACAACAAAGACCTTTTAGATAAGGTGATGGAAATGGCTGATGGGATTGAAGTGGAAGACCTGCCGCAGTTTACCACCAGAAGTGAACTAATGAAAAAGGTAAACAGGATTTCCAAGTGAATTTGAAATAGTGTAGAGTTAACAGCCCCTGTGTTCATGGTGATGTATTAGAGTATGTACTTTTTTTTATGATTTTATGTATTTGTTTTTAGAGAGAGGGGAAGGGAGGGAGAGGGCGAGAAACATCAATGTGTGGTTGCCTCTCATGTGGCCCCACTGGGGACCTGGCCCACAACCCAGGCATGTGCCCTGACTGGGAATCAAACTGGCGACCCTTTGGATCACAGCCCCTGCTCAATCACCTGAGCTACACCAGCCAGGGCTATACTATTCTCTGAATGCTCCTTTAGTCTCCCAGAGATCTAAGCCCTTTTATTTTTGTTTCTTGGTATAAACCTTTGCATATCTAGGTAACAGTATGATAAATTATGCCTTGTTGGTGGAGTAACAAACTCAGCCTTTTCAGTTCCTCTAGGGACATTGTTTTAAGCTTTTTGTGTGATTTTTAAAGGAAACATTGGCTAGAAGAGTGCTACAGTTTCTCACTTACTAAAAAATCTTGTTGGTAACATTAAGTCATCCTTAACCCAACAGGTGAGGGCCTGACCAGCCTTATTTGGCTTCTCGACTCACTGAGAGGAATGTAGGTGGAGTCATGTCCACACATCATCATGGTCCATATTCTGCAGAGCTTAGTCTGGCAGGAGGCCACGGTATTTCTACACAGTGAGCTGTTGCCTCCAGAGCCTTGTTTCTGGATCCCTGGGCTGGGGCCATGGAGACTAGAGCAGAAAGAGGCTCAGGGGATGAGAACCCAGCTTCTCAGAATCTCCCAAGACGTGCTTTTCTCATTTGCCTGGGTCTCCCAAAGTTTGTTTTGTTTGGTTTTTTTTTTTGGGGGGGGAATACTTGACCCAGGCCTCTTCTAGAGTAGATTGTAAGCTTCTTGAGGTGGTATCTAAAGATTTAGTCTTTCTAACTCCAAAATCTAGTCGTCATACCTCAGAGTAGGTGCTCAGAAAATGCTTACAAAATTGATTAAAGCAATAGAGTAAAAGACTGCTGGCCCTTTTTTGTTCTACCCTCAGAAATATAGGTAAGCCTTGCCTCTCCCTAGTTAGGGTCTTGCAGGAAATATAAAGATGCCCCCTTCTATGTGGGTGACCAGGAACTAAATCTGATCCTCAACTGCCCAGAAAGCACGTTAGCCCCAAACAGCACACCCCGATTTGATTTCAGATAGTTTTCCCATAAAAGTATTTTAAAATCTGAACCTGGTATCAAAAGCTTCAGGTTGGTGTTTAAGGGGTTACTTTGTTTTTAAAATCAGCTATTAACAGGGGGCTACAGTTTTTAGCCAGGGAACTGTGTGAATTGGGAATTTCTGTTTGGATTCTCTCGTGTAGTACTTTTAAACACCTTGACAGTAAACCCTTCAGTGTCCCATCAGTGGTGAAGTTCCTGTGGCATAGGCAGGGAGGCGCTGATAGTTGCTGGCAGGGGGAGGCAGGGAATAAGGTGGACCTTTACTTTTTTTAAAAAGTTATAGATTTTAGGAAGGAGAGAGACATCAATTTGTTGTTCTACTTATTTACACATTCATTGGTTCATTCTTGATTTTTGTATATGCCTTGACTGGGGATTGAACCTGCAGCCTTGGCTCATCAGGATGTTCCAACCAGTTAAGCTACCTGGCCAGGGCTGAACCTTTTCTGCTCACTGCTTGTGGCAGATTCTTTCCTTGCTCCTAAGGAGGTATTCTGCCCTTCCTGAGATCTTCCGCATCACCTTTCTGGTTCATAGTACACTTCTCCCTCTCATCTGCAGCTGTGCTTTCCAGTCATGCCAGGCTGTCGGAGATCCGATCACTCCATGGCATTTGGGCTGCAGCCTCCAGGACAGACTACAGAGGTTTTGTAATTGACATGCACGTCCCTACCACCACCCATGGACCGGTGTGAAGTGCATGCGCGTGTGTTGGGGAAGGGTCTTTCTAAACTATTATATGCTGTTAAATGGGAGTTGAACCTCAACAGTTTCCCTGCCCTGAGATGTCCGTTTTTGACCCTGTTGTCACACAACATCAGTAGCCTAGAGAATAGTCCTCAAGCAGGAAACTGCCTTTGCCATCAGACTAATCATTAGCACCTGGCTACCTGGAAGAAGCCTATACTTCTGTAGCACTTTTCAATTACATATATTTCAACTTCCTTTGAATATAACATGTTTTCTTAGTAACCAAGTTTTACTTTAAAAAAAATTTTTTTAAGGATTTTATTTTTTAGAGGGGAAAGGGAGGAGGAACAGGGGGAAACAACAGTGTTCACACATTGATCAGTTGCCTCTCACACGTGCCCCAACTAGGGACTTGGTAGGCAGCCCAGGCCTGGGCTCTGGCTGGGAATTGAGCCCCCAGCCTTTCAGTTTGCAGGCCGGCGCTCATCCCACTGAGCCACACCAGCCAGGGCCCAAGTTTAATTTTAGTCTCTTGATGCCACTGAAAATTGGAACTCAGTTGATCCTGAAAAGCAAGGTACTCAGAGAGTATGTAGTAGAGTAGTTGTTGAGACTCTTCTAGAACAGCCCACCCTGTGAACAAGCCGTCTGATCTGTGTGCCAGGACAGACTTGTGTGGCGTTGGAGGCTGTCCCCGCTCCATGTAAGGCTGCCTCGAGAGCCCACTGGAAAGAGCCGTGGGGACTTCACAGCAGTTCTTTTGTCTCTTACCTGAGGTTTCTGCATGTAGTAGAGGCTGGCAAACTTTAAGCAACATTGCCAGCCTAGAGACAAAACCAAAAAAACCCTTGACATTGAGCCATGCACCTGAAAACGTGTTGTAGTAGTTCTGCCCAGAATTGACCCTCATCTCTAAAATAAGTTCAGTTGGGTTTTAAAGCTAGCTGGCAAGTGGAAATTAATCACCTGGCATTGTTGATATCTTGGGACTGGACAGTGATAATGACTTAGGGACAGAAGCTCTTTAAAGTCGGATTTTAAAAATACTTAATGGCTATTCTGCAGTTTTGAGGCAAGTACATCTCTGCAATCTGTCCAGTTTTGTGTGTGTGTGTGTGTATCTGACAAAAGAAATGAGCATTGGTCTCTGACTGGTGATATTTGTCAATCAATTGCATTGTATGATTTTTCTTTTGAAAGGGGGAGAGTCAAAGAAATATGTTTACTGAACAATCTCAGATATCTAACAGCCCTCCAGAAGCACCTACCAGCAGCCTTTGTGGTTGACCAGCTTTACCCATTAATGAGCAGTAATTAACAAATGAGCAGCAGCATATTTCGGAAGGCTGTCATCACTGCGACTGTCAGTTAACGTTGCCAAGGCATCGTCTTGAGAAAGAGGAGTGATTGACTAGGAAGCTGTCATTATTGGCTCACAGAAAGAATCTGTCAACTTAATTAGTTGTCCATTTTCCCTGAAAACATTTTTATCTATGAGGAAAAATGGCAGAATGGAAAAGTGAAAGAGAAACTAGAAAAATATGTCTTTATTTCAGGAGGGTTTTTTAAAAAGATTTTATTTATTTTTAGAGAGAAGGGTGGGAGAAAGAGGGGAAAACAACAATGTATGGTTCTCTCCCATGCCCCATACGGGGGACCTGGCCCGCAACCCAGGCATGTGCCCTAGATTGGGAATCGAACTGGTGACCCTTTGGTTTGCAGGCCGGCACTCAATCCACTGAGCCACACCAGCGAGGGCTCAGGAGGTTCTTCTCTGTGCACTATGTGCAGTTTGGAGAAGCTTTTTTTTCAACTGGAGTTTCATTTTATTGATTGATTTGAGAGCGAGAAACATCGGTTGTTCCACTTACGTATGCATTCTTTGGTTGTTTCTTGTTGGGGATCGAACCCGCAACCTTGGCATATCAGGACAACACTCTAACCAACTGAGCTACATAGATAGCCAGGGAAGGAGATGTGATTCTAAGGTGGCAAGTATTTTTTTTAATAGCCTGTCAGATTAAATTAGGTTTTGCCTTGCATCACCAAGTAAGTGCTCAGTAAAGCTACCTTTTCTTCCCCCTTTATGCACTAGAAGCAGCCAGAAAAGGTCTGTCTGACCCCATAGGCCAGTCTGTGGCCTGCTGCCCAGGATGACTCACTCACCTGCCAGCCAACACCATGTGTCAAAGAACATACTTGCAGCAGCCAAAGCCAGTGCAACTCTTGTCCTACTGTGGGCTTGGTCTATCTTATCAGAAATCTGAGAGTCAGCTTAGGCAATCCCCTTCCCTTTGGACTAAAGATGGTTTCTTTAGGTGATACTACATTCTTCTAAAAGGAGAAAGGCCCTGGATTGTATGGCTCAGTTGGTTGGAGCGCTGCCCTGTACACCAAAGGGTTGCCGGTTTGATTCCCAGTCAGGGCACATACCTAGATTGCAGATTCGATTCCCAGTCAGGGTGCATACAGGAGGCAACCAATCAATGTTTCTCTCTCAAACTAATGTTTACCTCCCCCTTCATCTCTCTCTAAAAAGCAATGGGCAAAAAAATGTCCTTGAATAAGGATAAAAAAATCTTATTTTGTTTTTGCTGAGGAATTTTGCCTTTTCATTTTTCAGAAAGACTGGAGTAATAGGCTTAGGAGGAAATAGGTCATACCCTGAAAACTCTGATACTAAAAAGACTCTGATTCATTCACACTGCTAAATGTTAAGGAAATCTATTCAAATACAAGGTGACAGCCAAAATGATTTCTTCACACCATGCTTAAAAGTTGTCTAAAGCCAAGTTTAAATTTACCAAAGGTGCTAGTGAGTACCCAGAAAGAATGTATTTCCTTCATTTTGCCACTATTTGAAGTTTACAGTTTCTAACAGTGTGAAATCCAGAAGTACATAACCTTCACATCTCCTGAATGTCCTGGCTGAATGTGAAATGTTATGAATTACTACCTGGATCCAGCTGATTTTAATTTAGAACAATAAGTGTTTGTGTGATCCTGCTTTTAGAACCTTTCATTGCAAAACAAGCCAGGAAAAAAGTTGTATTTAAAGTATTTCCATTTTCACATTAAATTGTGAACATTTACAGATCACAGATGACAAAAAAATGAGGTTCTGGCTTCCAGATGGATGGTATGGTCAGAGTTCTGCTGAATTTTCTGAATGTGGTAAAATATTAATTTGAGTCTACTTACTATCTGGCCAGGACATAAATATTACATCCCTGCTATATTTTAATTTATGAATCTGATTCACTGGATTACATGGCTATATAACCTTTTCTTTTTTTCTCCCCAGCATCAAAACTAAGGCAGAAGATTCATCACACTTTCATTATCAGCTACAGGCTAGAGAGGAGGACGGGACAAATGTGACTTTGACCACAGAAGCTCTCTTAAGACTCCTGGCATTACCAACACAAAGGAAAGAGGCAGTTGGAACGAAAGGGGTATTTTAAAATGTCTCATTCTTTTAGTACCTATCATTCCAAAAGTATTCATAGATATTTATGTATTTATAAATCATGCCCTTTTTTAGTTTTTGAATATCAGACTTTTTGTTAAAATGTGTATTTTTTTATGTTGATACAATAATGGCAGGTAATGGACTTTACACTTTGGATTTCTCAACACTGTACCTTTTAAGTGGAATTCTGGTCTTATGGTCTTTTTTCCCCACTGAGGCAAGCCAGATCCCTTATTTCCTATTCTGTCTGGAGTTTGCGCTGCCCATATACTCCACTGCCCTGTGTACACTCATCTTTTTAAAAGATTTTTATTTAGAGAGCGGGAAGGGAGAGAGAGGGAAACATCAATGTGCGAGATACATCAATTGGTTGTCTCCTGCTCATCCCTAACTGGGGACCTGGCCTGCAGTCCAGGCATGCACCCTGACTGGGAATTGAACTGGCAACCTTTAGGATTGCAGACTGGCACTCAATCCACTGAACCACACCAGCCAGGGCCACACACATCTTTTTTTTAAGAGAGGAGTAAGAATCAAAGCATAGGCTTCAGGTACCCATCAGCTCATGCAGAGGCAGCCTACAAAAATGTATCAGACCTTATTTTAAAACTGACTTGAGATTCCAGTTTGGTCCAGGCAGCCAGTTGGTCTGTAGACTCTCTAGGTCTCCCAGCTGCTGAGTAAAGCCCACATTTTCTTTTTCTGGAGGGAGCCTGAGGCTCTTATCTTCTATTAGACTTGAGGACTTGCTGAGCACAAGAAATTGTTTATTGCAGTGCTGCTGTGCTCCGAAATGCTGGCACTAATTTCCCCTTTTTAGTTAATGTGTCTGTTCTCTACCCCCTTCCTTATTTAGTATCCACCATTAAGTACTTATCTCCAGACATAAATACTGAGAGAGGGACTTCATTTAGGGGCAGCAATGTAACAGTCACTCAGCAGGGTTCAATCATCCTGGTGTGTGATCCTGGGGGCGCAGGTAAGACAGTGGGGTCCTGCCTTAGCTTGACCTACTGGTAAACCCAGCACTAAAGAGGAAAACTGGCTGTGGAAGCAGGGTGTCTGGGGCAGGGGAAGTGGGATGAGTTGCCCACGGCTCAAGGCTAAGGCTGGCTCAAGGCTAAGGCCACCTTGGATCGGCCTGGTCTCTGGGCAGCTTTTAGCCCTAATCTGTAGCGACCATCAGGGTGGACCCAGGGAAGAAACAAGATCTCTATAATCTATGCCCTCGGACAAGCCACTTTTCTCCCCGAATATTACCTGAAAAATGGACTTCTTAGAAGTATCTACTACCAAGAGATGTGGTCAGGGTCAAGGTGTTAGAGGGCCAAGCACGTGCTTAACGAGCCTGAGCTCCAGTCTCTTTCCTTGCTGCTTATCTACAAAAATTTGTGAGGCTTAAAAAAACCCAAATGATAAAATGGAAAAATCAGAGCGTGGTTATTCACTTTAAAAAATGCATTTTCTGTAAGTTTCTCATGATTGATTCTGTTTTCTCTATTAATGTCCCAATAAATTAATAATACCGTTATGAATGTATCCTTGTATATACAGCAAGCTTAAATTGTGAACTGATTACTCTCATCTCCTTCAGTTTATTTTTGAAGACTTCTCTAGTTAACCAAAATCAAATTTTGATGGGCTTCATTGTTTCCTCAGTTTAAGCAGCTTTTTCTTCTCATCTTTACAGTCTCTATGGCTACCTGACCCATAAAAGTAGCCAGTATTTCACAATTTCATCCAGTTTTTCTGGAAATCTAATTTTTTTGCATAGCAGCACTCCTTGTGCAGGTAAAACAGTCCACTCTGAGCTCTCAAATGGGAGCTCACACCAGCTGTAACTAAGCTACAAGGTGCAGGCTGCTCCTTTATACAGCCGTGCCCAAGAGGGGGTGCGGGTCAACTGAGATCTTAGGAGGGGAACATGATGAAGTATTGCCTTCCAGTATGACTAGGAATGGAGTTTCTTCTGTGAAAGACTTGAAGTCTTAATACCTTGGGAGAAGCAAGTGTCATTACTAGCAATTCAGTTGAGGGTGCTTAGTTAACAGTGATACCCTTTTATGTTATCCAGAAAATTGTTCTTTGAAACATTCCTCAGACCCTATGGCCCCGGATCAATCCTCTGCCTTCGAAGGGGAGAGGATTCCCTCTGAACTTCCCGGGTCCATCTGGACCTGTGGTTTACCATTCCACTGGCACTATCACTGCCTCTGATACTTTTGCTTTCTAGTAAATGGTCATGCAAATACTGCGTTGCATTCGAAATGAGGTTTCTACTACCCCGTATGTCAGGTAAATTAGTGTTTCCCAGCTGTCCAGCTCTAAAGTCTCTGCTGGGCACCCTTATGTCTGGAAGAAGACTGTCAACTTCTGGGTCTGTTTGTCATCTAGTCATGGGACCAGTATAGGGATACCTTTTGGTTCTGTAGGAATGAGTAAACACAAATCTTAAGAGGCAAGAGTTTTTTAACTTAAACATAAATACCCTAATTGTTTAGGGGAGAAACAATCTTGCATGGCTTGCTTTTCAAAAATCAGTAGCAAGCGACACCTATTTATTTAAGTGAAAAGCAAAAAAAGGTTACTCTGTCCCTTCAAAGTTATGACTTCCAGGGCTAGGGGTGGCAGAGTCCTTTGCATGTGTTCCCATCACACATGGAGGTGGGCTTGAGGCCTTGTCTATTGACAACAGGACTGGCTGAGGAGGTGGGGCAACATCATCTGAACAGATGCCCTTGGAAATCAAATAGTAAAAATTGAGACTGTTAACCTCCCATTAGATGGAGCTAATTCTCATCTGTCCCCAACCACGTGAACCAGAGCTTTTTCCCCCACAGTGCCGTCAGAGAAGAGAGGCGTGCCTCTTAAAATACACCCCTGGCAGTTGCAGCCCAAGTCCCACCTTTCCCTGCCTAGGAAAAGTAGGTTAATGAGCCAAAAATACCTTTGACACTGGCTCTCCAACCTATTTGCTTGAGGGACAAAGAAAATGTTAGGGGCCTGAGGTGAATCTTGGTACTCTCCTGTTTTAGTGAAGGGGAATAAGGAGGTCAACCTTGAACTGTGTGGGCCTAAAGCCCATGCTTTGATGTGAATGGTAGCACCAAAACCTCTCAGGGCTGCATTTCCCTTTGCTTTTGACATTTTCTTCTGTTAAGAGTTGTATACAGAACCTGGTAAATGTGAACTGGTAGCTATTCTTCCTGGTTCCTTCACCTCAGGGTAGGGATCTGCAAGGTGTGAATGATCCTACTTACATCTTTACTGGAGGATTTAATGGAAAAACAAATGTCTGTCTTCATTCCTGTCCCACTTTCCCTCTGAGGCCAAACGGGAAAGATATGTTTCAACTAACAAACTTACATGAAAATGAGCACACACAATCACCCCACCAGACCAGGCTCCATCCCCAGGGCTGCCAAAGTGTGTGCCCTTTCAAGTTGTAGAGCAGTCTACCGTGTGACTTGTCACCACCCATCAGGTACTACTGGTATGTTCACAGTGAACAGCAGCGGGCACTGAGCAATGCAGCACCAGTCAAAGTCAAGCTGTTCGGGGGCGGGCGGGGGCAGAAGCACAACCTCCAGAAAGGAGAGGCCAGCCTTGCCCAGAGCTCGTGCGCCCACTGCAGTCCTCCCCCCACACTGGGTGCCCTGGTACTCCTGTACCATGTGGGTCCAAGGGCTTGCAAGGGCTGTAGGTTTGCTTCCTTCTGTGAACACGGTTTCTGCTGTAGCTCCAGCTAGATTGCTTACCACTCGGTGTGAATTGTAGGCCTTGGATGATGGAACAGTTGGGGCTTGGATCACCTGAAACCTGTGGTTCCACTTAGCCTTAACCCAGCTTTTTTTTTTTCTTTCAAATCGTCACCCCAGCGTATGTCCATTGATTTTAGTGAGAGGAAGGAAAAGAAAAACACTGATATGCACCCTGACTGGGGATTGAAACCACAACCTTAAACACGTGCCTGGGCAGGTTCAAAACACCACTCCAATGAACCCCGCCACCTGGCAGGGACTAAACCAGCTGTTTCCAACTCCTCAGTGGTGAGACAATGACTCCTGCTTCCTTCTACCCTTCTGTTTACCAAATTATTTGCTTTGACTATGTGCTACTTTTACTACAAGAAAAAACAAACTGCTGATTAAAAAGTGTCCCCAGAGAATTTGGAACTTGGACCCTGGAGGTCCTGTGCCCTACTGGCCTCTTGTCTAGGTCTGTCCACGTACTGCCTGCCAGAGGCTGTATGAAAACCAGTTCCCACTTTTTGGCTTTAAGTTCCAAACTGTGGTACAGCCTGACCTCTCAGACTGGGTTCTCAGGGGGTGCCAGTGACTGGCCTGAAGCTGCTCCATACAGAACACCTAACCTCTGTCAAAGAACTGACATGTTAAGGACTAACAAAAGCCAGGGAACTTTCCTGAACAGATGAGCTCATCAACCTTATACCAGCAGCAGGTCCCAGTACCTGCCCTCACTGATCCTTCTGGCTTGCAAAAGACTACTGTATCCACCCCTACGCCCCAAGGATCAACACTCTCTCCCCCTGCTGATGCTATGGGGTGTTGTCCACCTGAAACCACAGCCTTACGTGCCCGTGCCTATAACCCAAACAAAGCCCACTAAAACACAGCAAGATTACTAATCTAGCTTTTCTAGACTTGAGCTACAGCCAATGATGTAGGTAGGCTTCAATTCTTTCCTGTTCTCTGCCCAGGATGGTTATCAGGCCAAGAGCATTCCAGTTTCTTGTCATCTTTGTACCAGCACCGATGCAAAAACACTGACTCTCCCAAATCCCTTTTGTAAAGATTGTTATATAGAGGCCAGCCACTCTGCAGGGCAACTATCCTTTGGGCTTCAGACAGGAAGCACTATTAAGAGGTCTGCCTTAAGTGGTCCTAGCTACATTTTAGCAGCTTTCAAGACACCACAGAACCCCTCCTGCATTCCAGGAAGAATGACAACTAAATGGTTCAGGTTGATGGAGCTTGAGGATCTTTTCAGATAGATTCTGGTCCCTTCTACAGAAGTTCCCAACCCAGTGCCACTTTAGGGATTCCAGTCTTCCAGGTAAGACCTGATACCAGCTAACCTCCCCCAAAGACTAAAGAAGCATCATACTTGGTAACCAAGACCATCTCACCATATAAAGACCTCCATACCAGGTAAAAGGTTATTTACTTTCACTCAGGAGAATACACTCTCTATATACTGGAGTCCTCAAACTTATTCCTCCAGAAGTGACTGATAAACAAGCATCACGTGGCCAAGATTTAGCACTCAATGACAGAGTCCCTGAAGTGCATGCAGGGTTCTCACCCAAGTCTGAATCCTCCATGCACCTAAGAGGAAGCCTGCAGCCCTTCCTTTCATGGTTCTTGAATTCAACCAGCAAGAAGGTCAAGTTGCTGAGTCAGTCCCATACCCAACAAGGTTTATAAAGGGCTCATTAATCTTTTTGGCCCAACTAAAAAAAGCCCTAGTTTATCCTATGAACAGGAAAACTTAAAAACTCAAGACACTGCTAATAAAATTGCTTTAAAAATCTGTAGTGATGGTGGGCAGAAATTACTGAAAGAATGCCACATAATCCTGTATTATTTTTGAAAGGATAGAGGAAAACTTTTAACAAGACTTTGTTTCTGACATCTTTGCTCTCTCATATACTGGAATAACTGAAAATAACAAATATTTTCCCTTATCTGATAGCAGCTCGGGTTTTTCCTAACTAAATGGGAACTCAAGAAAGAGAGCATATCTTGGCATAAGGCCTGTTCTATGCACAACTTCACTGACCTTTAATAGCTTTCTAACCGTCGGTTTTCTATTAACATACACAATCCCCACACAATGTATATTCCTTTGGGACTGTGCATTGCTGAATGCAACAGAAAAGAATTGTAAAGTAAGCACTACCAAGTCCTAGAAATTTGGTCTTGGTCTCTTAAAACTTGGGGTAGGGGACTTCCACCAAGATGGAGGCGTAGGTGGAAACACTTTGCTTCCTCCCACAACCAAATCTAAAAACAACAAAGTTTGAACAATAAATGCAACCAAACCACAGAAAATCAAACAATACGAAGTCCGAAAACAATGAACTGCTCAGCTAAACTGGTGAGGGGTGAAGCCAGCAGCGGAGCCGGTAGGGCATAAAAGATCCCCCAACCTGGGCAGCACGCAGGCAGCCGAGGGCGTGGATCCCAGGTGCGGGGTAGTTATGGGCAGAACCAGGGAAGGTGCGGTTTGGCTGGCTGGCTGTGGTCGCGCGTTTGCATGCAGATAAACCAGTGAAGACAAGCATTGAGATAGACCACGCAGGCTCCAACGCAGGGCAGCGGGTTCACACATTTGCACTCAGATAAACAAGGGGGGTGGGGGCGAGTGGTGAGGCGGACTGGGAGAGCAGAGAGGGCTGCCATTGCTCCCTCTCTGACCCTGCCCCCACATACAGTGTCACAAACCAGCTACCTGGGTGGCCCCACCCTGGTGAACACTTAAGGCACCTCTCCTAAAAATTAACAGGCCCAAACAGA